TGTGAAATGCTGGAATGTGAAAGCAGTGATGTGTTGACAGTGATCCTTAGGCTGTGCTCAGGAGGGTCTGGGAAGGTTCTGAATCTGGAAGGCTGAGTTCTAGTCCACAAGAGGGCTAGAGCCCTCCAGGCAGAAGGCAGTAGTAGCAGTTCCAGAAGGTTACACTCTGACTGAGAGGTGGTCACTTTATGTTCAGGAAGGGGACATAATGGGAAGTTTATGTATGGGGAGAGGTAAGGTCCTTGAAGATTCATTCTGACTCCTTGAAATCAAAATGAATGCCAGTTTTAAAATGAGCTCTTCTCACGCACGCTACCTTGGTGATGGGCACACTTACAACTGTGACTCAAACTGCACAAAAACAAAACATGTAATCAAAACGTTTGTACCCCCCTAATATTCTGAAATTAAAAAAGAAAATTTGGCAAGACTCATCTTGCCATTTGGAAACTAGTAAATTTTTGTGTGTATGAACTGTGTAGTATATTTTTATTAGGCTTCTAAAGTCAATGGTTACAAAATTCATTTAACTTTGGTTACGTACTATATACTCAGTCTTGGTCATCCACATAAAACAATCTCTTATGTCAAATAAATAAACAAATAATAAAATAAAATGAGCTCTTCAGCTTTTCTTCCTTAAACTTTATGTAATTCCAAAGAAATGTGTCCTGCTGCTTGGAGTCCCAGTGGTGTGAGTTCCAGTAGTTTTGGGGGATGGGATGGTCCCTGTCCACTTCCACGTCGCTCTTGTAAAGCCAGCTTTCTCCCTGCTCTCCCCTCCCTCTGCCCTGCTCCATTAGTTGCTTTGCATGTGATCATTGCAATTTAATAACATCGAATGACAATTCTGTGCTGATTTTATTGCCAACTAGCCTTGGAACTCAAGCCTAGATGCAAGTAGTAAGGAGAGGGCAGCCAAGGCCTCCAGGTTGCCAGTTACTTGGCTAGAAATCCATTCATATTGGGAAACAGATTTTTAAAATAAATTTGGCACTGGAAGCACTGCCATCCTTTGTGAAGCTGTGTCAGTAATCGTAAACCCTCATAATCATGCCCCCCAACTCTCAGCCAAGCTGACAAATATTTAGGCATCAGCATGTCCTCACGATGCCACCTTCTGTTGACCGTGTGGGCTTCTCGTGCTGTTTGAGTTGGCACCGGAACACGGTCTTCTGTTTTATGTAATAAGGAACATCAGAGAAGCCCTTTGTGCTCACCATCTGCAAGTGGGTGCTGAGCAAGACCTCTTGTGTACCCCATCATTTTCGGTACAGTCAAAGCTAGTGAACATTTCTGTGGCCTGGTAAATATTTTCTAACTCTTGGCAAGGTTTTCTTTTTTTCCAGTACCATTTTTGCTCCAGGACAGGATTCTAACGACCCAACTTTAGTTTAAGATGAATTTTGCAAATACATGTGTGTGGTGGGACTACAGTATTTTCAGAGAACACAGGCATGGGTGTGACATGGGCTGATGCAATATAGTGCCGCATGTGCCCAATGAGGCTGACGAGGCTTACCCCTTGCAGATTGTACCAATAAGAGGGCAAGGCTTGTTGAGATCTGCAGAAATACACAGAATTCTATCTTTCTGAGAAGGCTTGTTGCTAGCATGTGACATCATATAGAGCCTATTTTCTGACTTTTTTTCTTTTTTGCTTTAGAATATCAAGGGAAAAGACCATTTAACAGAGTTAGCCACTTAGCTTTATTATTCATATCGCTCCCTCCCATTAATTTTTTTCTTCAAACACAGTGTTCAGTGTCAGCGTCAGGTGTTGGCAGCCTTCCTAGGGGGAACAGATTGCTTTGAAATAAACACAGCTGGAAACTTACCACATATTGTTTTTCTTTCTTTTAAGAAATGAAAGAGGCATTTATAGAAAGGCCGGAGAACACTGTGCTGTGTCCAGAATTACTTTATAGATTTATTCCTCCAAGTCTGGTTAATGATTAATGTCATGCCTGCCTGGGTGTCCAAATGGACCCACTTCCCTTCTCCCTTCCTGAAGCTGCAGTTTCCCCGGGAACAATGAATCTGCAGAGGTTTGCTGCAATCCGAACTTGAGGAGGGGGTGGAGTCTGCTCAGTTCTGTCTCTCCCTGTGGAAGTGTGGTCTTTGGAGCTAAGCAAAGAATGACTTCTGTGGGGTTTTCTTCTGCTGGCCTTCCTTGCAGCCTTGAAAACCTCATCAGAGTCGCTTCTGCTGGCTTCTTGCTGTGCTGCGCTGTCAGAGATGGGCAAGTAAGTGAATTATGGAATGTTGGCATGTGTGCTTGTGATTTCTATTTTATTCGAGCAACTTTTTAAAACGAAGGCAGTGTATTTTCTAACAGTGTAATTCCACTAGGTTTTGTGTCTTCTGGAACTGTTTTTTCTTGTTGCTGTCAGGGGTTGGTATGCTTTGAAATATTGGGCTTAAGAAAACTTTGCAGACTATGCAAATTTCCAATTTATGTGTAGTCAGGGGTCTGGAGTCTGGAGGTAAGAGGCAGGTAATTTCACCCAGGAAGCAGCAAATTTGGGGTAAGAGTGATCTTGATATGGCTGTAGAAGGCTGAGTATAAAGGTGATGAGGGGAGAGAACCAAGGGTCTTCTGCTTGGGAGACTTTATTATTGTTGTTTATTCCTTGGGTTTCTGTACCAAAAGGTTCTCTCTCCTTCTCTCTCTCTCTCTTTCTCTCTCTCTCTCTCTGTCCCCCTCTCTCCCCCCTATTTTTTTGTATAGACGTTTTGTTGATTTCTTGGATTGTAATATAGTAATTAATTGCTATTAAGAATTGCCATTAATCAATTGCTATGTTAAGGTTTTTCAAAGGAAGTTTCCTCAATAAATAGATGTATCTCTGTACATCTAGTAAGAACTGAGTTTGAAATAAAGACAAGAGAGATGTGGGAATTTAAGAGTAACGTCTGCTTTTGGTTTGCTTTAGTGGCAACTGGGAACCTTTTCTCACAGGCCAAATATATTTTACTTCAGTTTGGTCTTGTTTTATTATTGAGAACTATTAGGATTGCATCTGTTGGGATTACCTGAATTACCTGTCACCTGTACTGCGCTGGGAATGTGTATGTAGTTATCTGAACAAGTTGAATCTGTCATTCATTCCTCACTGGAGTATTTCATTTAAAATAGCATTCCCTAGTTATTTGACTGAAGTCCATGAATGGGAATTGTTGGAATTAGGTCATATATCTATTTGGATTATCATAGTTGGGTATAGCACCTAGCATAGGTCCTGGTACATAGTAAAGCTCTATGTATTGGCAAAAACGGGCTAACTTAGTAACGTGCTGAATGGTCATCTGAGCTCCAAGGGCAGGAAAGTGAGTGGTGCATTTTGAACCTTATGAAATGCATAGGTAAGCCCAAACGAGGAGAGAATTGAGAAAGCCTGTTATTAATATAATGAAAGTGATCCTAAAAGGCTTTCTCTATGTTGATTACTGCCAATCATACTTTTTTCCTGTCTTTGTACAACTTGGCAGAATTACTCTAGATTTTAGATTTTGAAGAAATAGAAAGAAAAGACCCCCTTATACATTACACTGGGCTCTGATAATATGGCCGATTCTGTTTGTGAATTTCTTAAATGACGTTTTTTTAAAAAAAGAGACTGTGCAGATTGGTTTTCTATATAATTCTACTTAACAGCTACTTAAGGTATCTCAGTGTTCTTTCATATACATTATCTGCTCTGATTCTCCCATCAGTCCAATGAGGTTGGTGTTGATGTTACTTACCCATCTTACAGTTGAGAAAAGCGAAAGTCAGACGAAAAGTGATTCCAGAGGTTGCTTGATGAATGGAAGAACCAGATGTAGGCTGGTTATTTTAAAACTCAAAGTCCCGTGTTCCCTCCACCTCATACCCTCTCTGGTCATCTCTAAATTTCCTCCATCGTGGAATAGTGGGAAGAACTTCGACCTGGGGGTCAGGAGACCCAGATTCTGATTCTGATTGGGTCATTGCTGGCTCTGTGATGTTGAGCGAGTCACCGAAGTCTTTGTATGTCATCTTGCTTCCAGGAGTTTACTTCATTTGATTTTTCAGGTTTCTTTGTAGCTTCAGGGTTTATCCAGGGCCTTATCCAGGGTTTGTGTCCTCTCTGAAGTGCTCCCCTGCAATGTAGAGAAGAGGTGAGAAGGTAGCATTCTTTTCAGGCATTCTATTCCGTTCTGCTTTGATTTCCCCTGCCCAATGCCAAAAGACACAGGATCTCCGTAGATGAGGGAAATCTCAGGCCCTTACAAGTCTGTCTGCTCTGATCTGCTTCCTGAGCTGGCATTTCTCAGTCTGTTCTTTTTTACTCATCAACAAAAGTATTTGAGCCAAATTCTCTTGTAGTTTCAGCCCAGGAATGAACAACATCAGGTTACATTCCCATCTGGCCTTAAAAGAAGTGATAACCTCCTTGCATAAATCCATCTGTTATCTTAATCCTTTCTGGAACGGGGCACATGTAAATAAATATTACTCTCTATGCCTCTCTTAGGTTTCTCAACTTATGGCAGGTGGTTAAGGAAACGGCAGGATAGAACAGTGGAAAAAATTTTCTTTTTACTTTACTTCCACTGCTAACTGTAGCAGTTGTTCACAGACCAATTTAGAAAATTGTGGGATACTGAGATAAGGGTGACTACATTTTACTGACATTAAAAAGAAAGGAAAAAAAAAGCTATAATCAACAGTGTTTGCCTTAATCATTATTGTGTAAAAGAAAAAAACAAAGAAGTTGGAATGACAAACTCTCAGTAGGGAGAAAGGATATATCTTCCTAGGAAAAGAGAGCTGACATTCTTCTCCTGACATTTTCACCCTGGGCTAATGAAAAACCTCATTCATGACCACATACTTCCTGGGTAGGAAGTGGTATTCTGGACGTGGAGATGAGAACTGCATGCCTAGGTCAGCTCTTTTTCTGTGCTGCAGTCTCTGCCCTTGCTTTCTTGCTGTGATTTAGACCTTAACTTTGTCTTTACATCTTTCCCCACAGGCAAGAAGCGAAACCCTGGCCTTAAAATTCCGAAAGAAGCATTTGAACAACCTCAAACCAGTTCCACGTAAGTTGGCAAGATCATCATTTTAATCCAAACGACTCTACTTTACAGATTTCAAATGGGGGTTCATTTCTGGACTGGTGAGCAGTGCCTTGACTTTGGAAATAGTTATTAGAAAGAAGAGCCAGCCCTTTAAGTAGAAAGCTATTTGCTCACTGTTCTGAGACCTGAAATACTGATACTTCCTCTGTGTTGAATGGGTAGCTTTGAACTCAAGTGTCTCAGATTATTGGTTGAGGAAGAATTGAATGACACATGCATTTGGCAGATGGAGTCCTGCGTAAGCTCAGAGAGATCCGTGGCTGTGGACTTCCTTGCCTTTTCCCTGTAGATCTGAGCAAACAAGCAATCCCTGTGAGAGTCACTACTATTATATAAAACTTGGGTTGAGATGGAAAGATGGTATTTGGTGAGCACCCACATCCTGACACCTAAATACTGTCCCATGTAAACAGAAGGCAAAATGAGGTAAAGGAACACTTCTTTATTAGCTGAGGTTTGGGCACCAATCCCCAAGTCAGCTCAAGTACTAGTGAAGGACACCCCCTCTATAAGCCTCTTTTTTTCTTTTTTTTTTGTCTCTTTGTGTGGTGGGGAGGGTACTTCCTGTCCAGCTGGAAGTATGACCACTCACCAAAGCATCTGTAAGGGAGGAATGGAAATTCCAAGGAAATAAATCACAATAAAGGTACTCAGAGACAGAGTAAGTGCAAAAAGAGGACATCCCAACGGAAGCATGAGTATTTAAGGCTTTTGCTCATGTCTACAAAAGTGCCTCCCTTTGATTTTGATTGTGATCTTTTTTTTTTTTTTTGAGACAGAGTCTCACTCTTTTGCCCGGGCTAGAGTGCCATGGCGTCAGCCTAGCTCACAGCAACCTCAAACTCCTGGGCTCAAACGATCCTCCTGCCTCAGCCTCCCGAGTAGCTGGGACTACAGGCATGCGCCACCATGCCTGGCTAATTTTTTCTATATATTTTTAGTTGTCCGATTAATTTCTTTCTAATTTTAGTAGAGACGGGGTCTCGCTCTTGCTCAGGCTGGTTTCGAACTCCTGAGTTCAAACAATCCACCTGCCTCAGCCTCCCAGAGAGCTAGGATTACAGGCGTGAGCCACCGCGCCCGGCCCTTGATTGTGACCTTAACTGTGATCTATCCCATCAGAAAGCACACCCCCTACTGTTGGGGTGTGCTCTGAGAAATGATCATGACTAGTGTGAGACTTTGCTAGGGCCATTGATCCTTGCATTCCATGCAACAAATATGAAAAATGTTTTCCATGGAAGAGTTTCCAAGGACAGAGCACAGTGGAGGACGACTCTTCAATGTTCTGAACTCTAGCTCAAGGGGTTAAACTCAGGTTAGAATGTTCCTTTTATGAGGATCTGCAGGAGGAAGTTCTTCCCATACTTAGTAGCAAGATAGTTTTTTTTTTTTTTTAAACCTGCGGACCTGTGAACTGTATAATTACTATTTTTTCCTCTCTGACTGGTTTCTTGAAAGCTTAGAGTCAAATATGTGGCCTACTTGTACTATCTGTATTGGACTTTATGGG